TCAGATCTGTTTTGGTGTCTGACATAATTTGGGGGAAAGTCTCCATCACTATTGCTTCTAATATTGTTTCTATCCTTTCCTTCTTATTCTGGTTTCTCACTACGTGTATATTACACCTTTGTAGTTGTTCCACAGTTTGGGGGTATTCTCTCTTTTTGCAGTCTTTTTTTACCTTTGCTGTTCAGTTTTAGAAATTTCTATTGTCTTATCTTTCAGCTCAGAGATTCTTTCCTCAGCCATGTCTACTCTCCTAATGAGCGCATCAAATGCATTCTTCATTTTTGTTAACAGCTTTTTTGAACTCTAGCATTTCTTTTGATTTTTTTTTTTTCGTTTACTTAGAATCCCCATCTTTGCTTATGTTTATCATCTGTTCTGGCGTATTGTCTACTTTTTCCATTAGAGCCCTTGGCATATTAATCGTAGTTATTTTAAATTCCCAGTCTGTTAATTCCAACATCCCTGCCATCTGACTCTTATTCCAATGCTTACTCTGTCTCTGTCTCTTCTGTGTTTTTTGCCTTTTAATATGCCTTGTAATTTTTTATTGACATCCAGACTTAGTGTACTGAATAAAAGGAACAGCTGTGAGTAGATCTTTTATAATGTGATAGTAGGTATTGGAGAAGGAAAGTCATTCTCTAGATCTATGATTAGGTCTTAGTCTTATAGTGAATTTGTGCCCCTGAGCTGTGACCTTCACCAGTGCTTCTCAGTAACCGACCACTAAGTGGGACAGGATGGCTGGAGGGAGCTGGAGTTGAGTATTTCTCTTCCCCTAGATAGGTTAGGCTTTGATAAAAGCCCAGCACCTTAGGCTCTAGTAATACTTTCTCTTGAGGACCCGCCCTTTCAAGAAGCACAGAAATGCTCTGCTCTGGGTGTATTTCAAAATGGCTGCTTTCTGCCTCCTTCTGTTGGAAGCTGAAAGGTTTTGTTTTGTTTTTTCTCCAAACTTTACTTTGTAGACCTGGTAGGACTTTTGGGGATAAAACTCAAAAAAGTGTGGGGGATCCTTTAAGACTAGATGCCCCCTAGAGTTTTGAAGTCTCAGACTTGTCCTCCTGAGCCTCCAGTAACTCATCAGTTACAGCTTAGGTTTTCCTAGTCTTGTGCTGGTTCTCCCAGAGCTTTCTGCTCTTGGGCTTCTGCTCTGGTGGGTCATGATTGTTTGTATTCACCTGTTTGTCTCTGTGGTTTGGGGAGCAGTAGTTTGTCCTGTGGCCTCAGTGACCTCAATTATTTGACAAAGCTAAGGAGAGTTGCCAAGTTTCAGTTTGTTCAGCTTTTTACTTGTCAGAACAGAGTGATAACTTCCAAGCTCTTTACACGTTGGACTGTAAACCAGAAGTCTTCTCTTCAATTTTTTATGATCCATTTTTAGATATTATCATCATCATTATTATTATTAAGGGTCTTTGAGATTCATGCAGTCTTAATTTGGAGATTGGAGATTGAAATACGTTAGGCAAACAATTTGTTAAAAATCAAAATGTAAAATAAATTTCCTTACATCTTTAGATAAGATTGCAAAGAGAATTCCCTTCACTTTAGGGGTTTCCCTGCACAAAACACTTTATTTCATTATGTTCACAAAGTTTTAAGTTTTCGTTTAAAAAAATACAGATCTGAAACACAAAGCTTAAAAGAGAAATAAAAGAGAAAGTGAAAACTTCCATTTATCCACAGTCATTCCCAAGCCTCAGTTCTAAATCCAGCATTCTTCAGCCCTCTGTAATTATGGACTTACAGCATTTAGCTGTGTATGAGAACAAACGAAAACCCCAAGCAATGACTCAAAACCTCCATAACCAAGCCAGCTACTTTAGATAAGTAGGTTGTAGAAAAACCCTCCTTAATAACACTGTGGTATGATAATGATTAATTCAATTAACAAGTATATTGAATACCGTCTCTTTGTGTAATTAGCTAGGTGCTAGTAAGTTACTCTTGCTTTTTCAAAGCATAATATTTAGTTACAGGAAGATAGAGTATTCATACAACTTGGTGGTAATTATAAGGTAACTTGTAAGGAAACGTAATGTAATGAAACTTAACTAGAAATAACACACTGTTCTAGAATGAGTGTCTTTGGGGTCAAGAGATCTGGAGTGCCATCTCAGCTCTACCATTTGGACAAGTCACCTTACTTCTCTGAGGCCCGTTTCCCTCATCTGTAAATTAGGAAGTAAGAAGGGATTTTACAAGATTACTAGGATTATATGAGATAACACTTATAGAGTACTGTCACTTTCTGTTGGGCACTGTATGTTAATTTCCACTCCCTTCCATTCCAATACAATTAAGTATCTAAGTGCTGTTACATTAATGGAGAGCAGAAGTACCACAAACATGCTGTTTTGGGGCCACATCATGTTCTAATTTTTTGAATTTGAATTATTTGATAACACTTAAAAATTAAAGGAGTCCACATAAAATCTGGATTTCTATTTTTTCCTGAAATTTATAGTGTCTGGGACCTCCATGGGAGATCCATCTGCTGGAGCTTGAGGACATTGTGAGCCAAGTTTTGAAGAAGGTTCATGAACAGAGTATGTGCTTAATATAAGCTTAAAGCTGTGGGTCTCTGACAGGACCTCTAATTTGAGCAGGCTCTCATGGGTCCTTAATGGGCTTCTTTTGTGCTTAAAAATGATCAGCAACGAAGTGTGTAGCTTGACATCACTGACATTAGTTCACACAGATGGAGGATTAGAAAGGAGATAGAGCTTTTCTAGTACAAGCTTAGCTTTTATGGGTGCACACATCCCCCATCCCCTTCCCCCCCCCCCCCCCCCCCCCCGCACCACCACCAGGAGCACATTCGCTGTCATCTCTAACCTGTAAGGATTAGATTAGAACACAAGCAAGAAAAGACAAAGAGGGAAGTCTGGTGAACTTGACGAAGCCCTTCTTCTTGGGCAGAACAAAAGAGAATATGGAAGCAGACATCTGTATAAATCAGTCCAAAGCAAATCAAAGAAATTCCAGCAGAAAGGGGCCTTTTTGCCTGAATTATGGAGCTAATTATCTCAGTCCTCCTTCAGTGTTCCTGGGGAGACCTGGCTGAAGAATGCTTTTCCAACGAGCTGGCAGATTCGGAAGTGGAGAGAAAATGTGTTATTATAACCACAGCTATGGAGCCCAAGCCTGGTGGCTGCCTCTGTCCAGAACACCTGTTGAGAGCATCCAAGCTCAGACCAGCATGCCTTGCTGGGGGGAAAAGGGGGGCTTTTGAGAAGATCATCATGGTCTGCACGCTGGCAGGAGAAGAATGCCAGCTCCCAAAGAAGCCACTCTTGGTGGCTTTTTAAAAATCTGTACAACTTTAACACTGTCCTAGAAGTTATGGATGATTTTCATCTTTCTATTTAAAATGTATCTTTTTTTTTAACAACTTTGAGTAATAAAAAGGGCAACTTATTAATGAAACCCTTCTGCCTTCAAAGTATGAAATTAAAAGATTATTATAACTACAGGCAAGAAAGCATTTGGATTATGTGGCATTTGGAAATGACAATAAGGATTATCCATATGGTCTAATGTTGTCAATGTCTTACATTGCATTAGCAATCACCTAATATGGGCGTGATTTGGATTATGTGGCTCATTTTAAATTCTGCTGTGTCCTAGGTCAATCAGAGTCAAGATGATTTACTAGAAAGAGCTGCCATCTTCTTTTGTAAATGCTGCCGGGTACTTAGGCAGAGTTAGAATATTTTAGGACACAGTATCTTTGGTATTATGGTGCAATAGTCTTAAACCTTCTCACTTTATACCTTTTCCTTAAGCATCTCTCATTTTACTCTTGGCTGTCCCAGGTCCATAAAACAAGCTCTGGTAGTAAAAGCTGAAAATTTTTGCTTTATCTGTTTATTTGCATGTCAGGTCTTTTGCATTTTTATGACTTTGTCCAAGTATTTGTAACTTGAGATTATGAGCTTTGAGTGGTCAGGGAGCAGGACTCAGAGGCCAGAGTTAAACTGTGTCTCCAAAGGAATTGGAAATCTCTCTACCCTCCTTGGCCTTCTTGCATTCTCTTCCATGGAGGGAGGGGACATGGGGGCTTAACCCCCTCCTAAACTCTCCAAGGGAAGCCAGCAATTTGAAATTTCTTTACCTCCTGCTCTGCTGACCAGCCTAAGTGAGGACCTGATCTGGGGTCATGTGGCATTAAGTCCCGTCACAGCTCCCTGAGAAGTTGGGATATGCCCTCCTGTGCACCTGAGGCGTGAGCCCCTCTTACCCTGGGCAGGCTCAATGTCACGGCCAGCAACCTTTCTGCACATCCTCCAATGATACTGCTTTCTTCCCTTCTTGCCTACTTTTGTGTTTTAGTTCAATAATACGCCTCGTAGGGGCGCCTGGGTGGTTCAGTCGTTAAGCGTCTGCCTTCGGCTCAGGTCACGATCCCAGGGTCCGGGGATCGAGCCCCGTATCAGGCTCCCTGCTCAGCGGGAAGCCTGCTTCTCCCTCTCCCACTCCCCCTGCTTGTGTTCCTGCTCTCACTGTCTCTCTCTGTCAAATAAATAAATAAAATCTTAAAAAAAAAATAATAATTAGCCTCGTAGATTCATCCTTGGATTCTTTCAGTTTTGTTTGGCAGATATTTACTAGAGCATCTACTATCTGCCACTGAATGTAGAAAATAATTTAGTAAAAAGTAACTCTAGAAGCTTATCAGTAAATAGATTATGATCGCATTGTACTAGGGCCAGTGGTCATTTTAATTTAACCTGTAGTAGGAGAAACAGAAAGTAATATTGTAGGCTGTGTGTTCCTAATATCACTGGGTTTTTGAGGATGGGCCGTGGGTGTTTTTCATCTGTGTGTCTCTGCAGCTGGCAGAGAACCTGACATCAAGAACGCACCATAAATAGATGTTAGGGATGAATACGACTAATTCAATAGAAGTTATTCCTGATCGTTACTAAGTACCCAGGTCAAAGCCCCATTTTCCATTCTCATGCATGTCTATATAATGAACTGTTTGTCCTAAGGAAACTAGCCAAGAAGCGGAAGGAGACAATGAGCAGCACGCGGCAGGAGATGACCGTGATGGTGAACTCAATGGACAAGAGCTACGCCGAGCAAGGCACCAACTGCGATGAGGCGTTCTCATTCATGGACACACACAATCTGAACGGGAGATGTAAGTGCACACATGTCTTACCTTCTAGTACATTTCTCTGGTTTTCCAGAATGCTGGATAGGACTGGGGCATAAAAAACAAAAACTCCCTGAAGAACTCTTACGCCCTATTGGTTTCTCCGTCGCTTTCAGCAGTTCTGAAAACTGTTTGTGCCATGGGTTGCTTAGGAGAGGAAGGTACAGCAGAGATGATAGGGCCAGACCAGGGAGTGCAGGAAGCCACAAGTAAGTTTCTGTGAAGCCTTAGTGTTGGCATGAAGGCTTTTCTCTTCTTGAAGAGGAAGGCACCTGCTTCTCATCACCCTTTTTGCAGTCGAGATCCTGTTTGTAAGCTAGCCAGTTGTGGAATTACACAGGGAAGCCTGTTCTAAAACAGCTCACTAAATGGCAATAACAGGTTAATTGTTTATTTGTTTAGCTGACAGGTTCTGCCTTTATTATAGGGCTATTAGTGGCAATTAATAAGTTAAACTATATTTCCACTTTGCAAGTCTTACCTCTCATACCAGGTGGGTAAACCAAGCTTCAGCTCATGCCCTCCCAGACTGCCACCTGTGATCCAGGTACAAGGCATTATTTTAGGAAGCTAACAATTCAATGGAGTATGTGAAGAACAAAAGGAGCTGTTGTGGTGTCCCTGGTGATCCTCTCAGAGACCAGAAGTAAATCCCCCGTGGATGCCTGATTCTGTGGTTCATGGCCATGCTGGGTTCAAGGGCAGAGGTTTCTTTACTGTGTGAAATCCATGCCCACAGACTGCCACTGCCACTGGCTGCATAATTAGCATGTTGGACAGCAAGAGGATGGAAAAAATGTGCAGCTATCACCAACACTAATAAAAATGCAGAAACTCCGGAACCCTGACTGAGAAGCACAGAAATCGGGTCTCGGGTTGGGTGAGAGGGCTGATACCAACGTGGACAGTGTGTGCCGTGTCCGGACCACCTGCTCGATCTGTTCTTTTGCTACAGCCCCCAGGCATCCCATCTGCCCACCCTCTCTCCAGTCACTACATGGTCAGTGTCCACCTCTCCCACACTTTGCCCTTCTGCATTCAGCGGGGCTCCCCAGAGCTTCACCGCAGACTGCAGACTGTTTTCTATTTATGGTAGCTACAGTTGCCCACTCTTCCTACTTAGAGGCACTACATTCACTCATCTGTATGCACACCTGGCCCAGTGGAGCAGGAGTTTAGCAGACACCTCTGTCAGCTGTCACCCCAGTGGGGAGGGTGGCTGTCTTCATCCTTGGTCATTGCTCTTTGCCCTTTGGTATCATTTTCAGTGTAAACGACATAATCTGTATACTCCAGTATCCCACAAACTACATCCTTTTTTCATAGAATTTTCTCTTTTTTTGTATCAAATATTTTATATATACATACACATATATAATTCATTTAATGGCCAAAATAAAGCAATTTACGATACACTGTTGTGGGCTGGGGTGGGAAGAGTCCTGCCTATCTCCAACAGGGTTAGAATCTCGGTAGTAGTGGTTAGGTCTTCAACGTCATTATGAAAGGGGCCACACAGATAGGTGCTCTCACTTTCTAGGATAACCCATGAATGTTCTAAATGTCCTATTTCATGGTGAAATTCCTCACGCAAAGATTTACTAGGAATTGCCTGCCCAGATGACTAGTTTCTAGGCTTTTGAAGTTTGAACAACAGGAGATATTTGCCTCTGGTCAGGAAATTTAATTTGGCAGTTACTTCTTAAAAAGTGAGTGTATCTGTGGAAATCCATAAATGCTCAGGCAAAGAGGTTGCTGCAGAAATCAGTATCAGCTTCCATGGCTCATCTGCCACAAGCCATTATTTTATGCCTCCCCGTCAATAAAGCTGATAGAGGAAACACAGCAGTAGGCCTTCCATTTTCCTCCCACTCTGTGAGCAATGACTAGGTGCTCTCCATTCCCCAACCACTGAGTGACCCTGACGGTAACTTTATGAACTACTGGGGGAGGAAACGTGCAGGAGAGGGCTTCATTAGACCCCTAGGCTTCCAGTCCCAAACCTATTACAAGTCTGGGTATGTCTGAGGTCTTTTAGAGCTGGGAGGTGAGTAGCTTTTAGAAATGAGACAGTGAGAAAAATGAAATTGGAAAATTTAAAAATAAGCACAAGCATATTTATGAGAATGGGGACTAATCTGTCTACTAAAGCAAATGGGAGTTGTACCATCTTCTTTTAATATGTTATACAAAGGGGAAAAATAAATATGTATAGTAGGAATGGGTTTCATTTTTATACTAAAGACAAAAGTATTTAAAATATATTTTAAAGGGTGAAAATAAACATAGCTATTTTGTATCTGCTTTGCACACTTTTGCCAGTGACATAAAAATGTCTGCAGGTAATAGACATTCTTCTTGCTGACCCTAGCACATTTTATAAGTACTCAGGTTTTTTATTCTTATTTTCATCAATTACCCTCTTTTTTCCTGGCAGTTTACCATAAACATGCATCATAAATATGATACCTCTTTATTTTAGAAAAATATCTTATAAATGACAACCAGCCTGGGTTCTGCTTCTTGGTGTGTCATTTATTAATCCTACATTTAAAAAAAAATAAACAGTGGTTAAAAAAAAACACTGTCATAGAAGAACTTCTCCAGGAGAGCTAAAATATATTAACATGTCAGAATAAAGATAACATACAATATCCACAGGGATTTGGTACTTCTTCCCATAATAAAATGATGTAACTGGGTATTAGTGTCCTGATCTGGAACTTTAGCATCAAATAAATCATATAACTACATCAGAAAGTTAAGATTTAGACTTACACTTAACCAACTTGAACACTTGAACACATTCAAATTATTTATCCTTATTACTTGAATGAAATTAAAGTGATTTTAAAGCACTAATCAGTTAAGATGTTGAAGACAGTTCACAAACTACTTTTAAAAAAGGAAGTACCCACTTTCAAAGAAATCAGATTAATTGGATGGGATCGACTTTCCCTCCCAATAACAGGGAGGGAGAAAAGGTCTAATAGTTAAATCCTGAGTCTTTCAGAGGACTGAAAAATGTGCATTTTTAAAAAGACTGAAAAGACTAATAGAACAATATGTAGGCATGCAGCTTTCACCTTAAATATAGTGCACACGAAACATCACCTTTATTTTTCGTAAGCCAGGTCATAACCTTATAGAAAGCTCTCAGAATATCCAAAATAGGAGCAAAGAGAGGAGTTAGCAAACTGTGAAAACATTGACTTTCAGAAAATTCTCCAGAATCCATGTGTAGACACCTCCTCATACCCTTGGTTATTAAAAAAACAAAAAACAAAAAAAAAACGCTGGCATGATACTAGAATTCTACAAACAAAGGCTAGAAGTCAAAATAGAAGTCTAATGAATTTCTCGATTCAAAATGGCAGCAGAGGTTATGAGGATTTTTCTTCGTTTGTAGAGTAAGGAAATCTTTTAAGTGATAAAAGGGTGTTTGTCCCCTAAAGTACAAGTGATTCCCTGGAGACAGCGGGAATGACCGTATTTACCACACAGACTTCAGTAGATGTCTGGCGTTCCTTCAGTCAAGTCTCTACCAGCACAGTGTCCTTCTGAGTGACCTCGGAGGGCTGTATCTTCAGGTACTGCCCCTCTGCCATTGCTGACTAGTCCTTCTCTCATTTACAGCTGTGTCTTCACCCTCGTCCTTTACAATGAAAACGAATACACTGAGCACATCGGTGCCCAATTCTTACTACCCAGGTAACAGATTTTTCCGTTGTTCCATCCATCCATAACCCCTTAGCAATCAGAATCAATCCGTGCTCTCACTTTGCTGTCCATGATGCTTGATACGTTTGATGTGTTGTAACCCGATGCTTTCTATGGCTTTCTGCGGGAAAAGTGGGGGGCCTTTCATCAATCATTTACTGTTCTTTCTCTTTTTACTTTCTCTGCATTGACCTGCTTATGATGTATGACAGACCCATTTGTGCCAACTGCAATTTTAGGTGAGAACATTTCCCTTTATCACAGTTTACTGCAGGAATAATTTAGAAAGTCAGTGGCCACTCTCTAGGAGGCTGGAGTTCTGTTCTGTATGACACAGGGATTGTAAGCAGGACAAGGGGGTTGTGGGTGGCCTGGGGGAAGGGCATAGATAATAAAAAGACTCTCCAAACAGTCTCCATTGATAAGAAGGGTTTGCCTGGTGTATGTTGGAAATGCTACCAAAAGATTCAAATGAGCAAGCCCGGCTCTAGTATTTTCCCTTTCTGTGTTCAGAATTCAAAGTCAGATTTGATCCCAAGGGAAAATACAGTATGTCATCACTCTGCTGTGTACTTCCAAGAGCTGAATTCGGTAATGTGACAGTCATAAAAGTAAAAATCGCTTCTTAGTATTTTCACTTATCACTAAGCTCTAAAAACTTCAATTTCAAAAATAGCATTTTTCTAATTATGCCAAATGTTATGCAGAAAAATGATCACAGTAGAGTCTGGGCCCCCCTTCTCAGAGCCATTCAGGGCACCCCCAGCATTCCAAAATGTCTGTCACACAGTGGAATTTCAAAGGAGCTGATGTTCTCAGCAGCAAAGTGACAAGATGGCACTTTATAATCACATGGTTTATTATGTGTCAGATGTCACTAGAAATGAAATAAAATGTTAGCCCAGTGGGGCAGAATGCATTGAAAATATAAAATGTTCCCCGTGAGGAGCCAAAAAAAATCCCATTTGTCCAGTGTAAGAAGGTTCTGGAGAAATGGCATTACCTGGCTCTGATAACCAAATAAGCATGAGCTGCTGTTGCATTTGAGATGCATCAATAACCTGAGTGTATCACGGCTGTGTTCTCTTTCTACTACTAACCTTACCGAGAAGGAGCACAACACAATCGACTTCAAGGTATATACCAATTCATTGTAGCAAAAGTTCCATCCTCAGCTGTTTGACTTCTGCTTCCTAATTCTCTTTACAAGGGTTGATATCTTTGCAACATAATTTTTCCCCCTGTGCTTCTCTTTTCTCTAAGTTGTTATGATTTTTGTAGATTAGGGCGATTTGTTTTTCTTACGATGTTTTCAGGGCTTGAGCAAGTTTGTCGCCTGAGTTACAAGTGAACTCAGACAGAAGTGTAAGAATGGACATAAACCCAGATTTTTGGGGTTCACAAAAATGAACACAGCTCACTAAAGCCCTCTCCCCCTTTTCATGCCAGCTATATGGGGAAAAGGCTGGTTTTTTATTCTTTTCATAAGTAAGGGGCACAGGCTAATTTTCGGCACCCGAACAAAGTAATCTACATGCAGATGACATTTGCAGAACCTCTTGATAGGCGAAGATTTGTGATTTCTTTGTGTGCTGTGGCATTCAGTCTGCAGCTCCTTTAGTAGATGTTCTGACCTTGGGGGAGCTGGAGTGGGGAGGGCTAAGACATGCATTGTCAGAGGGAAGAAAATGTTCAGATTGCACAGCAGGATTAAGATAAGCTCATTAAACAAATACCATTTTTTAAAAGTCGCTGCTTTGTTAGTACGAACACTAAGGACATCTTTTAAACTTGGTTAGGCTTCTCTACCGAAAGGGAATCACTTGAACAGACAATTCAAGTAGCAAAAATGATGCACATCTGTGAAAAGTAAGTCAGCCAGACTGACAAATAACTGTTATCATGTCTGGCTTATATATGTACCAACACAGCAAACGGTGGTTCTTAGGAACCGTTCCTCCCACGGTGTTTGGTGCAGATGTGAATCTCTATATTGCATAGTAAGGATTAATGAGGTGATCCCTTGACACCATGGGAAGATGATAAGCTGGACATACATCTACTCTGGCACTTTTGGGGAACAGCACTATTAACAATTTATACAGACAAGAACGTTTTGCTGTGACTTGGAGCTCAGCACCCTTAAATCCTGTATTATCTCCTCCTTTTATGCTTATGTGCTAAGGTGCCCAGCCTAAGGTATAGAGCTTTAGTATGCCTTTATGTCATTTTTCTTGCCAAAAAAAATGAGAGAGAGGGAGATAGATAGATAGATATAGATAAATAGATATTGATAGACAAATTTTGATAGCTGTTGATATTGCCTAATAAGTAGATAGAACACCCCACACCCCTCAGAAACATAGCACTCATTTCAATACTAGATTTTTCAGTTGTTTGTTGAGAATTGAAGATAGTCTGTGAAAGAATATAGGTAGAATTAATTCGCAGTTCTCCAAAAACCATCAGAACTGTTAGTGAGAAGCTTTGTTTCTGATTTCCTCCTAGGCGTAATTTTTAATTGAAAAAATTGTTGGTAATTTTTAAACCAATATAGGAAATCAATGTCAAATGATATATTTTATCAGTAATTATTCTTTTTAAGTCAGAGCAAACTGATTAACCACTAATTTTGATGGCATCAAGAATTTCTAATAGTGTGGGTGACCCAGTTTCATACCACAGATGGCACGAGGAGCCTTCTATTCCCTCTTTGATATCTATGTACTCGATAATAGCTCTCCTTTCTTAGATGGCCTCGGTAGTGTTTAAATGCTTTAAGATGGGTCCTTCACACTAGTAATGAGGTGGAGATCATAATGCAGCGGGGCGTGGTCAGTACGGTGGTAACAGTGCTGGCCATTCTGGGAATTAAACCTTCCAAGAACGCCTAGCCCTAGGACCAGAGCCCTACCAGGCTGCGGTGTCTCCACAAGAAAGGCCCAGATGATTCATTTAGGGGAAGTTTAGAAGGTCAGTCCACAATGGAGGGCATTTAATTACATTCATCCCAAAAGGTACAAAACGGAGAGAATGAGAGAGGCACAGGGGGGAAACTAATTAATGTTCCATTTATTTTAATATAAAGAACAGAACTTCCTGCTGGAGTAGCTAAAAGCTCCATAGAGTCTGTCCTTCAGCAGGGATCCTGTATTCCACTTTATGAGCTTGGCAGTTGCCAGCAAGCAAATCTGATGTGAAAATGTCCCGGCTTATTTGTGACTGTTCTAATAGAATGGGAACATCTGAATTGCTAATTTCAAAGCAAATCCAAATGAAAACCAAAATCATGAAATCTACGTACCACTCCTTTTTATTTTGTCTTTGTGTCTTTAGCCACCTTGTAGTGATCCAGGTGCCATTTCAGCAACAGCAACATAGCTACACACTTGTGTACCACCTTCCATACCATGCATCCCCAGGTGCTTTGCAATGCAGAAAGAACTAAGGTTTGAAAACCAGGCCCAGCCAACCAAGTGCCCTTGAATGAAATTTCCTCTGGAGCTGAATCTCTCAGTTGAAAAAAAGAATACCCATAGCTGAATTCCCTATTGATAAACAATCTGGTCATTTTTTTAAAAAAGATGAACATATCCTTTTGTATATATGTTTTAATTCGTTATACCTGAAATCAATTTTGATTTAGCATTCTCATTTTAAGTGAAGTTAGCATTACATTTTATGAGACATATCCTCAATCACAAAACAGCTAAAGGGATTCAGCATTATAATGAGCTAACCTGTAGCACGTGGAACTCTTAATCTAATAACACCTTCCTGCATCAGATATTTTTTAATAGCTACAATTTCTGCAGTTCATTAATCTAATGTACTAGGAGTCTTCCATTAAAATCCAGCCTCTTTAGGCTTATTTGACCAAATTTTGACATTAGTTTTATAGTACAATTTGGTTGACGTGTTCAAGAAATTTAAATGAGAAAATGTGTCGAATACAAATAAGACTTATTTAGTCATTACTTAGTTCATGGGGGATGAAAAGCAATTATGATACTATTTTAACCTCCTTTTTGTTTTTGAGTGCTTAAATAACGCACCCCCATCCTAAGGTGATAGGAGGATTGAGGCTTTGACCTCTGATCACCTACAGATAGAAAACTTAACTATAAAAGTAAAGCACAGAATAAAAACTACCTGTAATTATTCACACAGTACTATTGCTTATGCCCTGTTTCCTTTTTCTCCTCCTCTTTTTCTCCTGATATGTACCTTCTTAAAAGTGCCAATAAATGGTAAGTTCCCCCTTTCGCCCATGGAAAGGTGTGGAGGGAATGGGAGTGTATGTCTTATCTGTAGATTCTGACAAAGCCAGCTGGTTCTGCTGTGTGTCAGCCTGCATGTTAGATCTTGTAGAACATTCCATGTGTCATGTGCTGGTCCACAACCTTCTGTCAAGCTTTCTGACACTGGAGCATGCAAGTGACTCCTCATCCGTTTTCTGTTTCCACTGTCTTTGGATTTCATGTGTCAAGTCCGCATTTCTGTTGCTAGCTTTATAAGCCAACCCATTTTGTGCACTTTTATTTTGCTCACAGAACATTTGTACGGAGTTTATTTACTTCATCATACAAGCTAGTTAACAACTCTTCAGAAGAAGACAAGGCTGGTTTTGTGCCAGGCCTTGGTGAAGTTTCAGACCGAAACTTCTATAAACTTGAGCGCCCAAAGACCAACTAGCTTTGTAAAAGCAATATATCGTTTGGACTGCTTTGTAAAAACAACGATTTCTGCCTCATTCCTATCAGTATTGCCAACCCCATTTAAATTTCTAAACATCTAACTTCTTTTTCGCTGAGCCACTGTGGGGGTTGTTGGAGCCATAGGTGGAGGGGATGTCAGCAGCAGCTTCTGAGCATTTTCAGTGACCCCCACCTAGCCCACTGGTCCTCCCTCATGCCCGCCGTGGCCTTCTTTTCCTAGACGAAAGCCACACGATGGCCAGCGACACCAGCAGCTTGGTGCAGTCACACACTTACAAGAAGCGAGAGCTGGCCGACGTGCCCTACCAGACCGGGCAGCTTCACCCCGCCATCCGGGTGGCCGACCTGCTCCAGCACATCACGCAGATGAAGTGTGCCGAGGGCTACGGCTTCAAGGAGGAATACGAGGTGAGCACGAGCACCTTCCTGGGCACCATGCCCGGGACTGGGCTCCCAACTCCTGCAGCCAGCCAGCGGGACCCCAGGGGAGCTGCCAGAAAGAGACCTATTTCCATCTGGCTGTGAGACTCCTTTCCAGAAAGGTAACGTATGTAAAATGGAAAAAGGAGGACCACTTCACCGTTTCCTTTCGTCCTCATAAATATGCAATGAGACAGAGGCCAAGCACGCTCTTTCCCCATTCATGATTACGCTTCTTGGCTTCTTCTATAAATAAGTCTGATGTTAGATCCTAATAATGTTGTGGTAGTTATCCAGGAAGAAACTGTCCACTTAAAACAATTATAGACCAACCAGTGATGTCATGTGGTGGAGATTAGGCCCCAGGAAAGGAGGCTGGCTAGTGTCACGGCCATGACAGCCGCTGTCCTGCCAGCCCAGAGCGCGTGGCTGTCCTGGGATCTAGAGCGGGCAGCTTCCGGGGACATTTGCAGGCACAGTGATGTTCTCTCACCTTCTCTAAAATGTAGGCCTCACTTTACCACCTCATTCCCTAGCTGATTCTGTTGGAAAGTCGTTCACGAACCAGAGAGAATTAGTTGATTTGAAGAAGTAGGGTTCAGAGAAGCATCCCATCACTTGAGTGTGTGTGCGTGCGGCTGAGGCCGGTGAGGGGGAGGAAGATAGCGGGGGTGGACCTCTCTTTTTACCTTATTAAATAAAATTAGTTCACACGCATTGGTGGAGAAAAAAGTAGCAACTTGCATACAGTACAAACAAGATTACATAGATAAGGAGCTTTGGCCATTTTAGAATGTGTCTGCGATACTACATCTCCCTAACCAGCTCACAGTTGGGAAACATTTTGTCTGGAATTAAGAGTATTTTAGAAATCAGTTCTACCACCTCTGTACCCCACAAGTTTCAAACTCTGCTTCTTTCCCCCCTCGGGGACACTGATGATACTTCATTTCATGCCCCAGATGCTGTGTTGTCTTGGGTTTAGCCCCACTTCTGAGCTCAATTGCCAGAGATTTCATTATAGCAGTCAGAGCTGAGCCCTGGCTGCTTTTAAGACTGGGTCTTTAGGCCAACGCAGACAAATGGACAGACACACACTCTCTGCTGACATGAGCATCCTCCTTAGCAACTTGGCAACATGAGCGTTGCCAGTGACCTGAGCTCAGAAGCCTGCTGTGCCAAGGAAGCTGGACCTCGAGGGTTGAATTTCAGTCCAGGCAATATTTTCAGATAAAGTCCTGCATTTTAGCAACCCCAAAGTTCTTAGATCTACCTTTAACGATTTAGCTTGTTAGTCGGTGAAACTGACTGCCTTTGCATGTTTCCTCGTGCACTTTTAAAGGCTAGCTTAGGAGTTAATAGGATTAAGAGTAAGACTTCCAAAAGCATTAATATCATATGAAAGACAAAATTAGGTTAGTGAAAAAATATAAGCCTAATGAATAGAGATGATGTCTTAGTTCTATCCAATATTCTGAATGCACATATTGCTCAAATGTTTATTAAAGACGTTAATGTCAAAGAGATTAGTTACAGGCTCAGATACAATTCATAAAATCACCTGAGCCCCATTTTTCATGGACTATATAAAAATACCTCAAGACTTCCTATAACACACTATAGATGAGGCATATTTGAAAAAATACAAAAAAAAAAATCATTTCCCATTCATATCTCCTGAAGAAATATGACTTGTAAGTGCAAACTAGAACAGTTTATACTCATTTGAAGCAGTTTATAATTAATGATTTATTAAGGGTTGTTATACTGAAATAAAATGTTGTATTCATTAATTACATTCCAAGAAACTTTTTCTCATTCTAACTATTCAGTGGATCAGAGAGGACTGTAATATATACATGTATCAAATCATCACATTGCACAACTGAAACTGACACAATGTTACATGTCAGTTACATCTCAATAAACTGGGTGGGGGGATAAATACTTTTAAACACCAAAACCATTATCAGTTTGTTGGGTTTTTTTAAAGAGGGAAAGAAGAAGAAAGGGAAAAAAATTAAAAAAACACATACGCTAGAGAGGAAAGCAGGAACAAACAGGGAGGTGTTACGAGGAGACTTATGAAATGGAAGGTTCTGTAGGGGATAATCCTAGTACTCCACACATACCTCTGTGAACCATGTGACTGAGTGTGCAGCCTTTCATTTAATCCACACCGGAAGTCAGGAGTGCCCTGGCTGCCTGGTGCAGTGTGAATCTCAGTGTGGTTTGGGACACAGGCTCTGGGGCCAGACTGCCTGTATTCCAGCTCATCTCTGCATCTCTTTAGCTGTGTGACCTTGGGCAAGCTGTCTACCCTGTCTGGGCCTCGGTTTCTTCATCCATAAAATAGAATACCTATAGTGTCAACCTCAGAAACTTGTTGTGGGGATTACCTCATTTAGCATCATAAGTGCTAGAATTGAATCTGGCATTTAGTTGAAATGTTAACCAGTAAAAGAGAAAAATACTAAGTTATAATAAGATCCAAGAGAAAAGTTCACACTGTGTTCTTTACGGGGAGATTGTGTCATTTTGTGGTTTCAGTTCATCTCTGTCATTTCTTGTGTTCAGCACTCTGAGGATAGAATGAGCCAGTCATGCTATGGCTCAGTACATTTTTGTTTCCTCTAAAATACTCAGTGGTTTCCTTACCATGTATCATGTATCATCCAAAGTTCCCATTAAAAGGTAACTTAAATGAGTAGGTAGGTTTGATTCTGTGGACAAAGCGTTTGAGAAAATAAGTATTTCAAAATAGATGCTGTCACCTTTTATTGCTAAAAGAATATTTTCATATCTAAATTAGGAAAGTCCTAGGGAATGGTGTGACTATAGACCACCAAATACTGTTTATTTTTTTTAAAAAGTTCTAGGGTGTCTTTGGCAACAAAAGATGGAGGAGAGGCGGTTAATTTAACAAGTTGCTGTGCTCGTTAATTCGCCAGCGTATGTTAAGCAGGTGCTATGAATCTGGTTACTGCTGGGTGCTGGGGACATGGAGAACTTCCTGCCCCGCCCTCAGCCTCCGGAAGCTCACGCCACTGGAGGAAGCAGCCATACAGGGACTACAGCAGGTCAGCTTAAACCCCACAAGGGAGATTCACAGCTGTCCTTTCAAGGCCCCTCGGGGCACGTTGGCTAGTCTGGGGTACCAGACTAAGCGAGGATGACTCTTTCTTGAAAAAAGTGAGTGGGAGTTGGCCAGGAAATGGAAGAGGGCAGATTCTAGGCAGACACAAAAGCTAGAGAATGGGGTGTACTCCAAAATGGCGGTAGTGCTGTATGCCCGATCCTAGGAAGGGCTGGGGGTCACAGGTAGTTAGGCTCTGAGCACAAAGCATCCCACCAAGAAGCTTGAACGCCACTCTGGAAGCCGTGGGAGCTGAAGAAAGACTCAGATAACATGAGTCTGTCCTGTATTTGGATGGAGACTCATTCCTGCACTATTTAGCACAACCTAGTTGTTAAACATTATTTGTATGAGGCACACAGAAATTGCTTGAAAGATAATCAGCAAAGTACAGGGGAGGGGGAAACTATTCACTGAAAAGTGTAATATGAACTACACTGCTCCATTCCCGTTCAATAAAAAAAAAAAAAAAAACACAAAATCTATGGAATGCTTGGCTTCAGGATTCACTGAAACAATGAACGATGTTACATCTCTGAGAATAAAATGTCAAGAAAGTCTCCAGTTGCTGCTGTGACTCGCCAAAATGAATCGCTTGGTCTTTCTGGTTTTCTTCAATCCATGTTTATTGGGGAAAACCAGCCCCAATAGTGACTTTCTCTCTGTTGACACTGTTTCAACCCGTCTGTCTTTATCTTTTCCAAGACAGAAATGTCTGAAAATTGTCCTAAGCACTGGAAGGATTCATGACCGTTCAAGTAGCCGCCAGAAGTGTGTCCAAACCAAAGGGAAAACATGTGGTGGGGACAAGGCTGAGCAGCACTGAGTGCAAATTTTATATTTGATTTTGTTCTAACAAGATCGTCATATGGCATATCTCACCAGGGAAATGCAGTAATTTGATTCAAAAGAAACTCAGACATGAATCACAATAAAAAAGTAAACATGCTGAATTGAACAGAAAATGGCAGGTTGTCCTCAGAGAGTGGATCAGGGATCTCCGGAGAAAGACGGAGCAGAAAGGGCAAGTTTGTTTACATTGCTACAGAAGAGGAGCTGGTTCTTTCTCCCAACGAGCAAAGAGCAGTCTGTGCTAACCCCTTGGGGAACATCTGTGGGTTTACCAAAAATGGGAGAAAAAAAGATAGCTACGCAGGAGGAACACAAGGTAGGACTGAGCCATCCTTCCCCAGGAGGAACGCAAGGTAGGACTGAGCCATCCTTCCCCACCCCCCCGCCCCCCCACCCCGACCCCCTGCTGCAGACTCGGGCCTTTGTCCCCTGGAGTCATAGTAACTCTCCTGCTCCTCCCTGAACTGACAGGCCCCATTCTAGACACGGGTGTCCTGTACCCTGTCACTTGTCACTGCCCCAGGGAGCCTCAGCGGGGACCCTGCGGGGTTGGAGAGCAAATCTCTCCCCCTCTGGGCTCCCCAGAAGGCCTTCTCTCGTTCTCTATTTTATGACTGATTCGAAGTCCCTTTGGGGATCCAAGCAGAAAAGACATTAATCTTAATGTAGGACCACAGTTGCTTAATTCTGAAAGAACATATTTTACTATCACTGTAAAATGAAGAGAAAGGAAGGACAGCACTTTAAAACTACTCCCAGTTAGGGCATCCCGAAGAACACAGATGGCACTGTTTCATTAGCTAATGGTATTGCTCTGGGCCACAAAAATTTATTTTCCAATTACTGGAGCTAAAACTTGTAAACCTAAGTAACGCTTTGCAGCCTGCTCTTGGAAAAAAAATAAGTGTATACATATATATCTAAATATATTTAGGAAAGTATTCTTCTCATCCCACTTACTTTTCTCCTGTATATTTCTCAAGGGTATAAGCACTGGTGA